ATTTACCTTCTACTGTCCCTGTCTCTCTGTAGCAAGTGTACATGCCCTATGGCAAAACAAAACAAAACAACAAACAAACAAACAAACAAAAACCTTAACAAAAAGAAAAGAAAACCATGCCAGGCATGTGTGTGTGTGCAGGCCAAAATCCCCAGAGGAGAATGGTGGAGAAGGGATTGTGGTCTGGCCATTCCTTCTGGAGTGGAGGGCATGATGCATGACTTCTCATTTCCCCTCCTCTCTGGGGAGTGCACACAACAACAACAACAACAAAGGCTATTTCATTTATTTCTTTTCTTTTCTTTTCTTTTCCTTTTTCTTTTTCTCTTTTTTTTTAAAGGTTTTTTTGCCATAGGGCGTGTGTGCTTGCTGGAGAGGGACAGAGAGAGACTGTGAGAGGGAAAGTGAGAAATCCTCCTCCAGGGGGGATGGCCACACCACAACCCTTTCTTCGTTGTCCTCCTGGGATTTGGGGCACATGCACATGCACCTGGCATGATTTTCAAGCAGCCAGGTCCAGGATTAGAACCATGGTTGGCCATGTGGGAGTCCAGTGCTGTAACCACTATGTCACCTGCTGGCCCAATCCACCCATTTCTTTATTCCCTGGTCCATTTAATAAATATTTCCTGAGTATCTACTACATAGCAGGCACTCGGGAATCTCTCCCTCTAACGTGTCCAGCCTCTGCAGTTCAGGCAAACGACCCTGAGCAGGTTCTCTGGTATGACTGACTGCAGGCTGAGGACTGGTGTGGGCATTGCCTTTTTTTCAGTTTAGTTTAGTTTAGTTTTGCCTTTCTTTTTTTTCAAAGAGGGGAATACCTTCCACAGGCTGCCGACATGGTGACTCCTCGCCCAGCTTCAGCCAGCCCCAGAACATGGATGTACTCAGGAGGCCTCCAGACTTGAACTGCGACCCTTCCCATGTGGGATCGCCTCACAGAATTTTGTTTTAAACACTGTGCTGCCTGTTTTCCTGTTTAAGGTTTAGCTTCTTGACAGGGAGGAGACAACACAACATTGACTACGGCAGCCTGGAGTTCTGGGGAGCTCGGTTTGAACGCTACTCCTGGGTGTGTGTGGGGGGGCTGTCCTTGTGGCTGGTTCTGGGCCCCGTCACATATTTTATCATTTGATCAACAGGGTAATTCTGCAAGACTCGAAGTGTTCTGGAAACTGTAGAGAGGGGTGAACCAGAGAGGGGACAGCGAGGAACCAAAGGGACGGAGAGACACAAGGAGAGAGAGGGGCAGGGTGGAAGAAGCAAAGCAGGAAGGCAGGGAAGTGGGGAGCAGACAAGGGATGGGAGGGAGTGGAAGAGGGCGAGCCAGGGAGCATACCAGGGCAAGGGGGGACGGGTCCTCCCTCTCCTGCTGCTAGCCTGCATGCTCACGGCTCCATACAGGCACGTGCTAGGACACATGCGTACACACACGAAAGCACCCAGGCACCGAAACCCACCGCCTCGGCACCACACTCAGCATTGCCTTGGTGACAGGTGTGGGAGCACGGCCCTCTGCAGCCAGGGAACAGTGATCTCAGGCAGCCTCAGTCTCCTGGGCAAGTTCCTTCTCCCAGGATGTGGTCGTGGCCTTGGCGAAGGATGGCTTGAAGGCCTCCGGGTTCTGCCCAACGTCCAGGGAAGGAGAGAGCTGGCGTTCTTGGATCCTTCAGGCTGGATCTGCCAACAGTCCCCGCCAGGAAAGGGTTTCTGGAACACTGGACTCCCCAGGGGCCCACTCTCAGCTTCTCTGGTCCCATGCCACAGCCACCTCTTCCAGGATCTGGCCTGGCCAGGGACCTGCCCCTGGTTGGCTTTCCCAATGCAGAGCTCCCCCGAGTCCCCAAAGGACCAAGGCAAAGCAGGGTGTGGGGGTACTGGGGGTGACATGTAAGAGGCCCTCGGTGCTGGGCTTGTCAAGTACAGCGTGGGCATCTGCCTCCCCCAGCAGTGAGCTCCTCCTTCAGGGCCCTGCCAGGAATACTTGCTCCACCCTAGACCCAACCCCCTGATACTCCCATTACCTCCCCAACCCTCCCAGGTCAGGGACCTTTCTGTCCTGCCTCAGTTCCTGGACTGTGGCCCTGAGGCCTCTCCTCTTCCTTTGGGGGTGGTGGGGTGGTGGCCTTCTGAGCCGCCGAGCCTGCTGGCTGCTCCTGGCCTTGGACCAGCGCCCACCACTTGCCTCCTTCCCTTTGATCTGTCTCTCCACTGCCTTGCTCACGACCCCGGGTTTAGGCCATGAGGGGCCTGGGAAGCCCCTACCGTGCTCTGCTTTTGGGGCCTCACCTGTGTCTCCTCTTTCCAGGAAGAGGGGAGGTGGGACCACCAACCCCGAGCTTCCCCCAGCCACTGCCTTAAAATCCTAGTGAGATTTGACACACACAGTGTGTCTGCACACAGTCGGGGGATTAGTCTCAGCTGTCCAGAGTCCTCACGTTTATTCTGACTCGTAAAAGGCCCGATCCCCACAGCCATTCCTTCCTTCCGGCAGATTCCAGGGGCCACACGAATGCAGGTGTGTGCACCTGTACAGAAGTGAGTGTGCAGGGCCAGCAGGTGGTGTGGTGCTGAAGGCGCTGCACTCCCACATGGTCGACCAGAGTTCCGGCCCCAGGCCTGGCAGCTTGAAAATCACTCCAGTACGTGTGTGCGCGCCCAAAATCCCAGAAGGAGAATGGAGGGGAAAGGACTGCAGTGTGGCCATCCCCCTAGGGGGCGATTGTTCACTTTCCCTCTCACTGTCTCTCTCGGGTGAGTGCACACGCCCTATGGTAAAAACCTTAAAAAAAAAAAAAAGGAATGCGTGAGGGCATGTAGAGGTAAGTGTGCAAATGTGTGAGTGTGTCGCTGTCCAGAGCCCACGGAGTTCTGACACGTGAGTCATCGGGGGGGAGTGAGCCTCGGGAAGATGCTGCCCGTAAATAAGACAGCGATCTGTGGCCTGCCCTGCCGTCTGCAGCTGGCTGGACACGGGATCCTGGGCACCGAGGGGCTGGAGGCCGGGCTTAGGGGCCCTCTTCCCTCTGGACCCCAGAGAGAGGCAGTGGCGGATATTCCTCGCCTGCCTGGAGTCCCAGACATTTAAGGGGGTGACGCCTGTAGTGGGGTGGCAGTGGAGGGCAGGGGACGAGAAGGGCCAGTTAGACGGGGTCTACGCCCTGTTGGCAAGCAGGGAGATTCGTCCATTGCACATAGAGCGTTTGAGACTCTGTCATGTGCCAGGCCCCCTCCCCGGGGTTAGGGACACCACGGACCACGGACATGACTGACCTGCACTCTCCCTCCACAGTGCTTGTTTTCATCCAGAGGCAGAATGAAAACAAGGGAGAAGGCCTGTTTTAGAATTAATTTGATACAAAAACTATGAAGAAAATAAAATAGAATAATTTGGGGTCGTCGAGAAAGCTAAGACACATTTTTGCATAGAAAAACATGTCAAATACGTCATGACTTGTCTGACAGCCCAACAGTGTGGAGAGTGACCGGGAGGGACTCTTAGGTTGGAATGGTCAGGGCAGACCAGGACACGAATGTGCCCAAATGAGGAGGAGTGGTCACACGGAGACCTGGGGAAAGAACCTTCTGGAAGAGGATGGGTGAAATGCCCTTTGCTCACCCACGTCCTCAGGGGTTCTAGAGCAGAGCTGCTGGAATTACAGGGGGAGCTAGAACAGCAGGAAGGCTGATTCTCAGGGGATGAGGTGTCCTAGGAGCATCTCTCCCCCTAATAGACTGAGAGAAAGAGATGCCCCAGGTCCAGATAGGAGGAGAATGACTTTTTTTTCCCTTTCTGTAGGCTTTTTGGTAGCAGTGCTGAGCTACAGTGATGGAAAAGTCATACGAACAGGGCTCTTGCTGAAGCCTCTTTCCTCCAGGGAGCCTTCCTTGACTGCCATTAGGTGACAGAACGACTCAGGTCAGAGGTGATGGTCCTTTGAGATCTGTTTCCTTAGCTTGATCCTCCAAGACCCAGCCTGTGGGTCTAGTCGGTATGCATTCCGAGGCCACCGCCGCTCTTGGTCCAGTAATGGGGTTGCCTGGGGTTCTTGTACTGAGCCTTGTCCTAGAGCCGTTTCAGATCTGAGAGCGGCGAGGATCAGGTGCTGGGGTTCCCGATATCAATCCCTTTATTCAATTATCCATTCACTCACGTAGATTTTTTTCTAGAGCTTTTTACTCTGTGCCAGGCAAGGATACCTGGTGCCAGGGAAGCTGAGAGCGCCCTCGCCCGGGCGCTGGCGTCGGGGAGCTCGCTTGTACGACGCCTCTTGTTTTCGAGAACAAGTTCCACTGTCGGGCGAGAGCAATCCGCCCACCCCCTGGAGCCCCAATCTCGGTGTGATCGCTTATTCCCACCCCATCCGCGCCCTGCGCCCGGGTGCCACCGGGAACGCGGCGCGCCCCGAGGACACATCTGGCCCAACGCGCGTGAGCGTCTTCGCTCATTCACGGGCGCAGCTGTCACCATAACAACCGGAGCGGGGGAATCCTGGAGACCGTTCGGGAGAGGCGCGGGAGGTCGCGGGAGGGACCCGGCAGGGGCGGGAGCGCGGCGGCTCGGGGAGACCAACCTCCGCGGGAGCGCCCAGCAAGCCCCGCGCTCGACTGAGCCCCGCTCCATGCAGACCCGCAGGAGGGAGAGCGCCACGCACGTCGCCGTAGCGGCCGGCCCCGCGGGGAGGGACCCGGG